ATGGCATGCATACATAGACAGCAAACCAGGGGCCGATGGACGTAAGTTTTTTTCTCAGTAACCGAGTCGTTACAGTGTGGAACGTTCTGTCTGTGGATGTTGTTCTCTCCACCTGTGTGAATTCATTTATGAGCAAACTGGGCACGCATCCAACTCTTCATCTGCCCATCTGCAAACCAAGACGTATTATTGCGCTACTTATATAAAAGTGAGTAGTCGTTTATGTTTATACTTTTTAGACTGGCCGACGGCTGCTCACTTTTCACCTGCAATTATGTAAACAATTCCTTTTTTTCGAATTGGCATTCTTTATCGATGCTTTTCTTGGCTGTTTTGTAACTAACAGGCAGTTCAAAGGCGTTCACATATCTTTCCCTCAATACAACTGTAGTGAATATAGACCCAACGAAGGCAAACAAAAAACTTTTAAATCTCAGATTACTGCAGACGCTAAGGGATAATTCGGTTTTCGAATTGAGTACAAAAACGTCACGTTTATTTAGGCATTTCTATATCAGAAAAAGCCGGACGCAAAGACCGTTTAGTAAGTTTTTTTATCAGACTGAACAAATTTGCCTAATAGGTGAATTCCGCACAAGGTGACGTCAAGAAAACTTCGGCAAACGAGAGGCAAACATGTGTTTTACTCAAAGCCTGTGCTATTTATGACAGGGCAAGTCGCTTTACCTACCTGAATATCAGCAGCGAAAAGAACCTTGTTGAAGGGTGAGTCCTTTGTGACCTTGTCAAGCACCGGCGAACAGGCATAAGTTATGGCCTGGCTGAAGGATAGGAATGAGGACTCTAGGGCGGTATTCCGAGCCAGCGGAATGTCGAAGATGTAGTCCAGGTTGGTGAGAATTTGGTTCCAAAATCGCAAGTGCAGGCTTAGAGAGGCAAACAAAATGCTCAATATGGAGACAATAGTAGTAGTACTGTTTAGATTCTAAAGGCATTTCTTGCATGAAGATACTACTGTAAGCATGATCTAAATTGGCAGCCGCTAAAGCAAAAGAGATAGAGTTCAAGTAGGTTCCCACTGAGAGGAAACCTCGGTAAGGACTATAGCATGGAAAAGTCTTATCCTGAGAAAGACAGATTGGCATAGTGAAACCTCGGTTAACGAGTTTGATCCGTTCATGTACCGAGCTCGTCTCGCAAAACGTAGCCAATCAAACTGAATCTGTGCACTGATTGGCTTCAGACGACTGAGGATAGCCGGGGATTCACTCACCGGCGGACACAAGCACACA